TATATATATATATATATATATATATATATATAATATTCAAGTATGTAAATAAAAATACACATACATTGATCGTAATTTCATTCATATAAATGAGTTTACATACATGTTGATTATATATATTGAATACACACACACACATATATATATATATATATGTGTGTGTGTGTGTTCAATTATTGTTATGTAAATGACAAATAGAGTTACATGGGATAAACGAACAAAAGAAATTGGATGTAACCAACGAAAATGAATAGTCTAATTAATTTAATGTTTTGATAATAATTACATCAATTATAAAAAAAAAGCAAAGTTCGAGAAAAAGAAAATTAGATTGCGATGCCTGAAAATGTCATTTTATTGTTGGTGTTTTTTCTTACAAAATTACAAATAAAAAAACTATAAAAAACATAAAAACAAAAGTGAATCTACAACATAAACAAAAACAATCAAAATTCTCACAAAATTCTAAAGCCTCAATGGAGACTTCTTCTTAATCCAAATTCCAATGCCTTCTTGCATATATTGATAAACTCGTGTATACTTTTCTGCCATAGATGAGAGATGGAAAAGAAGAGGGGAAAACATACCAGTAGTTTAAAGCTCGTACATGGAGATGGAGAACACATAAATGAAAAAAACCAAAGATTGAAGGGTTTAAATATTGAAGTTGAAACGTTCCAAGAGAAAAGGAAGAGTTTTTGAGTTAAATGTGAAAATTAATTGGATTTAAATATTGAAGTTGAAACGTAGCAAGAGAAAGGGAAGAGTTTTTTAGTTAAATGTAAACATTAATTTGCAAAATTACTAAAAAAAAGTCAAAATGTGGAAAAAAGAGAAAAATATGATCTTTGCGTCGAGGAGATGCCACGTCAACCTATCATGATTTTGCTTTATAGATATATATAGATTTGTTATAAATATAGATATAGATATCATAGTTAAATAAGAAAATATCTGTAATTCAACTTCTTTGTGTAATATTATTTTTCTCTTACAACTATAATATTTTTTTTTATATATATAATATTTATATACGACAAATAAACTCATACGTTTAAACCCCTAATCTTCTGGAAAGCCAAAGACTATGATACTACTAAATCAAATAACTTTTGGTTACAACTATAATATTTAATCTAACAAAGATTTCTAGATTAATGATCATCAAAAATCTTTTAACAAAAATAAACTTGCAAGACAAGAAGACTACTTACTCGATAAAACAACTATACATGTACCCTACGAAAATGTGAAAGAAATTTACCTACTAGATCCACTAGTCGTTTGTGCACAAGGATTTATAAGTTATAACCACCAACCTCCGAATCAACCCAAGGACACACAACAGACTCGAATCATAAGCCAACTGTGCTATGTCTGGGCTTGAACCAACTGTTATTTGTGTTGTAAATCTCCAGGACTCGCTTTCACTAGCAAGCACAAAATTGAACATAACATGGCCACCAGCCATGGTGTTTTGGTAAAAATAAATCTTTAATATGGGTTTTTAATACCCAAGAAAAAAGGGCAATCTTTTTCAACATATGTAAATAAACACCGACAGACAGACATCTTTCAAGGGAGGATTAGTTCCATTCTGTATCCTGCCCTGATACACGAGACAGATTCTCCAAGACCACCAAAAGGTTTGATCTTAACATCTAAAATAATTGGAAGCCTATTTGGAGAGAACGTTGTATATATACCCTACAAGAATACATATCAAGAACACTCCTACAAACCCCACAACTGAGATAACAAGAATAATGCCAGAACCACCAAATGCTACTCTGTGCGTTGCATCTGGACCATCATATGTTGAGCTTGCGACTGAAAAGTATCAAGGAAATGATAAAATTAGAATCATAGGATATGTATATGCATATATGAATGGAATTCAGTCAGTGATAAGGACACCTTTATAAACCATGTTATACCAACCACCAATATGAAGCAGCTATTAGAATATAAACCACATTTCGATTCCTACTTACAATCAGTAAAGGTCTTTCCTCTAGTTTTAGCCTTGTTAACTAGCATACACGTCGAGTGTGTACATGAGTCAAAGTTCCCACAGTTACACACAAAGCAATGAACTTTATTTAATCCCATAAAAATCTCCAACCACACAAAGAGAGTGTGAAGAACCAATTAAAAAACAATAATTCCTTGATTCCTCCGTCCCAAAGAAAATGGAACACTTTCTATGTTGGGTTGTCTGAAGAAAATATAGTGTTCCTCTTTCAGGAATATATCTTTCCAAATTTACATATTACCTGTTAGCAATCATTATTAAATTATGGTGGGATTAACTACTGTCAACAATTTCTCATTTTTGTCCTATTGAATGGTATTTTGGGGATTTGATCAATAACGTTATCAAACCATGTGCAAAATCAACCGTTGCATTTTTTTTGGATGGAGCGTCAAGCGTGTAACTTGAATTAACAGAAGGCTAGCAAAGTCCAAAGAGATCAACTCCATCCTTCTTTAAATTACTTGGGGGCAGTTAGGGTCTGTTTGTTAGCGGCTTAATGAGCTTAATAGGACTCAAGCTTATTAAATCAGCTACACATGACTGTTTGGTTGTTTGGTAGTGACTTAATGATACAGAAAGTGGCTTATTCAGTAAGCTTCTAGAGGAAAGCTTTATGCATAAAGCCAAAAAATTTTCCAAACATGTCCTTCCCAATTAAAAAACACGTTCCTCCTATCTATGAAAAAAACCCTACCAAACAAAAGTCTTCCCAATCTATACAGACACATTAACCCACACAAACAGTTTTATCCATACATGACTTAACGAAAAACCAACCAAACATCCCCCTAGAGTTGGCTAAGGATTTCCCAAAGAGTACTAAATGATATTGCTAATGATTTCATCCTAGTAATAAATACATAAAGAACATTCCTATGAAACTGTCAATTACTCAACAATCAAAATGTCTCTTTCATCATGAAAACAAAAATATCATACCAGCAATCAACAAAGACAATTCAGCTATAGAAATTCTAAAAAAATTGCAACTTGTTTAGCTAAGAAGACACGCATTAAAGGTACCTGCGAGTTTGCATAATTCAGACCCTGAGGATACGAATTTTGATGAGCAAGCTGTAGAAATCCAATAGGATGGTCAGATAACATCATATTCAGGTTAGATACACTTTTGTTTCAGGATAAGCAAGCGAGTAGTGCTACTCCACCTGTGGATTATGACTGGGCTGCATCCCATCTTTCCTGCTAGATCCTTCATGGCCCTTTCCAGATCCCTTGGTGTCACCCTTTTAGAGGAATAAAAAATCATCATTTATGGAAAAAAATTTAATTAATTACTACAGCTAACATGAGAAGACAAACAATAAAACGTCACTGACCTCCATCTGCCCAGGCAATCCAATCACGAGCATAAAGAAAAACAAAAAAAATTAAGTCATCAGTAAATACTTTACAAAGAGCTATCATCAATAAGCTAAATATAAGTAATGACAAATCAGATTTCTGGAAACAACTAGTAGAGAAAAGTAACCTCTCTGTAACGATTCAAGTACGACTTGAGGGGCTCGATATAATCTTCGAACCCCAAGGTAGCCATTGCCCATAGAAGATCATCGCCATTAATAGTTTTCCTCTTTTCCCTTTGACACTTGTCACTTGCCCTACAGCCAAGATGCCAGATAAAATATGAATCTAGTTAACAACAAGGGTCTTAGTTGATACCCGCCCTGCCCGGGCCTGCCGTACACATATATACAATTGTCATTCAATTTTACCACCAAAACAATCACATCTGAAATATGAAACAATCCACAACCATTGCATTGCACAACCAGATGGAGCCTGTCACTGAAGTGATAAAAGGAGGCGAGTACCATCTTTTGATATATTTTTATCGAACATGAATCAAGAAATTTATGCATTTTTCTCTGATGGAAGGAATAAAAATCATAATCATGGTAATTATAATAACAAGAACAAGAAAGTTCACAAAACCTTATCCCGAGTTACACAGGCTTTAAAGATGATTGCCGTACATCAACTCTTCGTTGAAAAAATTATGTATAAATGCCCATGAGTTTGATCCTTTACGTTCAAAATACCAAACTAACACAAGAAAATTCAACTACATATATAATGGCAATCAAAGGAACAGATATATAAACAAGATAATATAAAGAAAAATCAATCAAAACACACATGTTGGAATCATACGTACTCGCTGGTGATAAAACTGATAAATTCTGAAACACACTCCTGTACGGTCTCCTTAGCATCCTTGGCAATTTTGCCATTAGCTGGTAACCCTTTCTTCATAATCCGACTGATATTCGCAATCGGCAAGAACCTATCCTGCTCCCGAACATTTGACGACCTTGGACTCAGATCCCCACTCTCATGGCTTCCACCGCCTGGACTCGCGGGGCCCTCCGCCATTCAAACAACAAAACCCTAAAGTCCAAAACCAAAAAATCAACAAGAAAAAAACAATCAACCATCTCAACAAGCACGGCACATGATTCCTCCATTAGATTAATCGGTAAAAACATCATGTATGTGGATCATATGCGTGCAAATACACACATAAAGAGTGTGTCTAAAGTTGCTGTGTAGAAATTAGGACTTACCAATTGGAGAGAGAAAAATTCGTAAAAGTTTAGGACGAAATTTGGGCGCGAGAGGCGATGGATGAAGATGGAGAGAGGAAAATCGGACGCTGGAGAAGAGGGGAGAGAGGTGACGATGGAGATGCGAAGCTCTGTTTTATCAACACCGTTGGTTTGGTACACCCTCCATCTTTTAGATGCCCAACACTTGCCTCCAGGCTCTTCCTTTCACACTTATTTACATCTACACCCCTCATACTATTAAAACTTATCATATACGTCCCCATATTACCTATGCTCTCATATAGTACTCACAAATTTAATTTTAGAAATATATATATATATATATATATATATATAATCATATGTTTATTTGAGAGATCGTAAGTATTTGAGAAGTAAAGAAACTATCCTAAGTCTTCATATGTTCATGATTTGTGGCTTTGACAGTGAAACAAAGATAATTCCTTGCAGGTATGCAAAAGATAGAGGAATAGTTTCGTAAATTTTACAAATAAATGACAAAACAAATACATATGTGGACTCCTATGATTCACATATGAACCAGATGTTTATATGTGAACCCGTATAATTCACATATGAACTATTTTGATTGATTCATATATGAACTCGTGTGAATCACATATGAACAAATTAATTGTTTCACATATGAACTATGAGTTCACATATACACTTGTTTATCGCATATTCGTAAAAGTTACGAAACCACTCATCTAGTTTTTGTTTGACCAATCAAAATCGCAACTATTGACCATCTTGACTATATTAAAAGCTAAGATCACTTATCTATTTCTCAAATACTTACCACCTCTCAGATGAACCTCTCCTTATATATGTATATATATATATATATATATATATATAATACATATATGTTTTTTATTATTTATTTAAATATGTTGACTTTGATTGAATAAGAGTATATAAAAGTGCAACATTGCTATATTTTGTAAGAGAGAAATCGGAAGACTAAAAAACAAAATGATAACATTTTAGAAATACTTAAGAGACAATAATTTGTGTTTTAGGTTTTGAAATATAATGTTATCATCAAAAATCATGTGCTTGGCACATAAAACAAGTATACATCTAAGTCTTCATAAAATGAACACAAGAACAACTCACAATGTAATAAGCTCATGAATTTGGTGAGATTCCTACTTCATGACATTTATACCAAAACATGTTATAGTGTTTGTTAGCCAAATATGAACCAAAAAATGACCCACATCACTTAGAGCAGAGGGCTACCTACTTTGACACCCACCTAAATTGCAGCACCAATCAACCCAATAAATATTGAAGCTTTTTGTACGACTTTGAAAGTTAATTATCAAAAGCAAATTAGTCTGTGAATAGCACCTATCAAATAACACAGCTTTGTTTTTGGTAGCTCCGAATCACGTACATGGTGATCCAAAAAACCGCTAGCCACTTAAATGTGCCATTCGAATGGCTATCAAAGAACGTCGAGTAGGGAAAATAGTTTAAACCCTTCTAAAGAGGTGTGTCATTTCCTCCACTCAAGTTATTAATTTTCAACGCTTCTTGTTGATTTGATGTTATCTTTATATGTGTTGTTTACGTTTATATTTTGAAATGTAAAGGTAGACATGAATCATAAAACTAACAATAGATTCACTTCTCTCTAAATTGGTGAAGACTTGCTAAATTAGATGGTTGCCAAAATATGAATTTAAGAAAGCCATGGGTTATTTTCGAAAGTTTCTGAACTTATTAAGTAAAATAACAAAATAAACGAATTAATTAAAACAGATTAAAATAATATGGACATGGGTACTTATTAGAATATGGTCATGACTCATGAGTAGTGATGGCCAAAAATCAGTCCCGGACCGGGCCGGTCCCAATCGGTTCCAATATTTCTCATAACCGGTCCCGGCGTAACCAGTTCTGGTCCCGCTCGAAAAAGTCGAGCCCAGTCAAGCTTTATTGTAACAGGTTATGGACCCCCGGTCCCGCAAAACACCCCTAATCCATGACCGCTCTCAGATTTCAGTCCGATAACCGGTCTCGGACCGGGCCAGGCCAATTTGACCATCACAACTCATGAGTCATCTACCACTCGCTATGGCCCAGTATAATCCCAAACCCAGAAAAGCAGCCTAGTAGCCCAAGAAGGACAAGGCCCATCTGCCACGATCCATCGGATCTACAACCCGGGTTCGTCATTGGTCATCTCCAATGTAACGTTTTTAAATCTTTTATTATTAATAAAAGCGTTTAAAAGATTTTTACGTCATTTTTGAGGATTATAAGCTAACTATTTTTTTAGATTTATTATTAAAAAAAAATTAAAGACAAAAAATAGCTTATAAACTTATTTATTGAACTCGCTATTTGAAACTGTTTCAATAAATTCTAAAAAGTTTTTCTTACTACTTTCCAGTTATACCCATAATTGATTTTAACTTTATTTTATCATTATTATTAATTGTTAATAAATATTAAAATATATTATTAATTATTAATTAATATTAATAGTAAATTATTAATCAATTTTTATTGTAAATTGTTTCAAAATAAAAACAATAACTTTTTGTATGATAAAAAAAACCCTTTAATATTAGATATCATAGAAAATTATTATTGAGGAATTATTAGTTAATTAAAATACGCAAGATTGAGCATCTTTGTTTTTATTTGTATTATATGTAACGATTATTTAAACATATCATTTAATGTAGATTTTTTCTAAAATTTAATTGATTATACAAATCAAAATTATAATATATATAGGGTCTTCTTTTAAGAACTCCTAATTAGAGAGATCCAAATTAAACTACAAAAAATTAGTTAAAAAATGAAATAGAATTTAACTGAACTCTCCTTTGTCATCTTTTCTCTTCTATATCACATTTTATTCTCTTCATAACATGCATGCACACACACACAATTAAATACGCATACAATGTAAATATATTGTGGTTATTTTTCTGAAATATTATTATAATTTATGTGCATGTTTTAAATCTACAAGATCTGATAATAATTTGTAAACATATTGTGAACATCAATTAAAAAAACAAAATTAAATCTAAATATACAACTTTATATCCCAGGTACAATGTTAAATCACATTTTAATCATTATTTTTCTATATTTTTCCTCCTTCAATGATCTTATTTTCCTAACAATATATATACATGGTCGTATGGTCACATAGACAAATAGAAGAACGTTCGAATATAACTCCTTTAGATTACACAACCGATGCAATCCATCTATCCACTATCCATTTTTTAGTTTTTATTTAAGGATAACTACAACCCATCAAATAATAACCGTTAATAATCAAATGGGCACTAATGATTTAGCTATAAGGATTGTAGGAATATAAATAATTATATAATAAGTTATCTCTAAACAGATATACATCTATGACATGTGCGGAAGTCGTTATGTTGGGTAAGTGTCAATAATGTAGATCACTAAAAATGTTGGGTAATAACTAATTGTCTATTATATGAGAGGTCATAAATGATTAAATGATATTTTAAGACATCTTTTTATATATCTATACTTATAATAAATAAGTAATTTTGGTGACACGTGTCATCTTCTGGTGAGTTGGTTTTATTGTTTTCCGTCTAAACACATATCTAGACACAATATACACTAGTGGTTCAATTAGACTTATTTGAATGTATTTAGACACAATTTACATTAACATTTCAATTATACTCATTTGATTGACGCACTAAAAATTGTGGTTTTTCTGACGGCAAAATCTGTCGGAAAAACAACTTTCCAACGGATATTGCCATCAGAAAACCCCCGCCGCTAAATGCAAATTCCGTCGAAAATCCGTTGGCAATGTTCAAAGAAAAAGTTTTTATTTATATGTTTTTCCTTCCAAAMATATATATTTAAAAAGTTCAAAATTTCCGACCAATAATAATTTTTATAATAAAAAGGTATATTCCGACACAAAAGAGTTATATTCCTTCGGAAATCCGTCGGAACTTGTTCAAAAAAGTTTTTTTTTTTCTTATAAAACATATATTTTTTTAAATAAATTCCGACTGAGTATAACTTTTTATTAGAAAATTACAATCCGTTGGAAATATTTTTTTAAACATATTTTTTGGAAGGGAAAATAATAAAAAAAGTTTTTTTAAACATTTTCGACGGAGTATAATTAAATATAAGAATCAATTAAAATCCCTTGGAAATTTTAATTAATGCTAATTAGTTTATTTCAATAAATTATACCAATTTTGTGACGGATTTCCGACGGATTTGTGATAATATTTAATAAGTAAAAAAAACTGTTACAAATCCGTCGAAAAACCGTTGGGAAAGTTGTAGAAATAAATTTAAAAATAAAATAAAATTGAGTGACGGATTTGTAGGGGATATGTGTCGGACATCGACAAAAGTTAACTTTTCTTGACTATACAAAGCTCTGAAGTCTGAAGAGTTTTACTTCAGAGTTATTTCAATAGTACAAGTTCAAGTCTGAGGTAATTCTTCAGAGTTATTTCAAGAGTACAAGTTTGAGAAGTCGTTCTAAATTTACTTCTAAGTTTAAATTCAATTTACTAATATAATTTTATTTCTAAATTTTATTTTATTTTAGGGTTAACTTCATTTTAACTCATTATTGATATAGTTTCATTTTTAAATTCAATTATTCAGAGTTATTTCAAAGGTATAAGTTTAAAGTAGCATCGTACTTTCGATGATTATTCATATTTGTAAGATAAGTTTCTGACATGATTTAATATTTTCAAATTACCCGTGTAATACACGGAATTGAACATATATATTATTGATATTAAAAATAACACGGTTTTCAGTTTTTCATCAATTTTTCGACACCAATTCATAAAAATATTCTTAATACAAATGAGACATATTTTACTTTCAGAAATTGAAGATTTGATTAGAACCTTAAAATTAACGATGCAAATATTGAGTAATAAACAATTTTTTCCTCTTAAATTAAATGTCTAAATTAATACTTGAATTTATTTAAAAATAAATGTCTATTTTTAAAAATAAGTTTATAATTTCTCATTTTACCATCAGTTATGAGATGGAGAGAGTTTTTGTATCTATTATCAAAAATAAAAATGTTATTTAGTTATATAAAAAATGTAAAAAAGTGTACATTAAATTGTATGTTATTTTTATTATAGATATTTATTTTGAGATGAAAAAAATGTCATATAACTATTCTAATTAAAATACGGTGCATGAGATATGACTAATAAGATAATGTTTTAACATGATTTTCTAGTATCCAATTAATTTGTTCGTTATTAAATAATTGAATAATCATAAACAAGACCAATGTTGGAAATTGATTATTATTATATTAAAATTATTGAAATAACAATATATTTTTATAAAAAAATTTAGAAAAATGAATTAAAATAATTATTTTTATCGTGGATTTCACCTTTTAATTATTTTTTACAAGGTTTATTAAAATAGTCTATAATTTTAATTCTTTTCGTGAATCTGGATGAAAAATATAATTTTCTTTGCAAACTTAAGTGAGATGTAATTTTTTTTTTGCTGACAGGGGCAAATTTTTTTTTGTCTTTTAATTGGGTCCGTAATTACGGACGTGAATTTTGCAGACTTATGGTTATTTTGGTAAACTTGGAAAGAAAATGTCTATAACCATCATTGAAATATGACTATTTAAATAAATTTCCCATCTCTTTGTTATTGCACTGTATTTATATATTTTCCTATTATATCAATGTATATTCAAATTATTTTTTATTAGACATTGTACTTTGAAAAGTTTACTCACTGTAACAACGAGTAACCTTAAGATTTGTAAAAAGATTAGAGATGACAAAAAAACCCGAAACCGATGATGAAAATCGAAAACCGAACAATTTCGGGTCGGTTTCGGGGACCTCTTAACAGGGACGGGACGGGGATTCGGGGATTTTTGGGGACAGGGATTGGGACGATACTCACCGATCCGGACCGGCCCGATGTGATATATATATGTATGTATTTATATATTTACAATTTTATAAGGAAGCCCAAACCCAAAACTGCTTAAGGGCTTAAAGCCCAATCTTCTGTCTTCACAGTTCATGTAACCACTTCACGTAACCACTTCACGGCACAAGCTATAGACGACGGTAAGACCTAGCTCGACCTCGACACCACCGACTTCATGACTGACGTTGACGAACGACGACCTCCTGTCACTCTGTATGATTGTGTCCAGTCTCCTCTCTGTCCAATCTCCTATCGGGATCTCGCTCTCTAGTCTCTCCTCTCGGCTTTCACTGTTCACTATCAATTACTCAGACTAAAGATGACATGATACAAGTTTATCAAGTTTTCATGTTATACTGTTATTGGTGTGTAATATATTGTCGATGTGACATTTCTTATTCGACGTTGTACTTTTTGCGTTATTCATTAATGTAACAATACTAAAAAGACTTATAGAGCATAATTTATCTCGTAAAATTCTAAAATAAAAATAAAAAGGCACCATTTAAACAATGAAAATAAAAACTTACGAGTGATAAGATGAAATTGAGTTGAATAGCAAATAATATTGAGTTGGATACCACATCACGTGCCATCTTAGATATGAAAACGAGAAGTTTTAAAAGTATAATTTAAAATACGTTATTTTTCATGCAATTTATTTATAAATATTTTAAAAAGAATCTATATAAATTATTATATCTTTATAATTTGAAAAAATGTGTACATATATATATATATATATATATATATATATAACAGTTATTTTTTTTGAATAAATTAGTTAAACAGCAATATTCAAAGACATGATAAGTAAAAACTAATTTATATTAATTATTAAATTTTTTAATTAGTTTAATGAAAGTGGGTCATGTTAAGAGGAATGAGGCGGTCAATGCAGATGGACCTTATCCCTTCCACGTGGAGGAAACCGCTTGTTCCCGCCGCGCCCATTGAAGAATTCATATTCATAGACGTAGACATAGACATAGACCTGAAACCTGATAAACTCGCCCACTACGAATGTTCTTTAGTTAGGTTGGTGCGTTATGCACGTAATTTTATTTAAACTATATAAAAATTAAAAAAGAAGAGAGATGATATAAGTTTAAATGGTAACATTGTTATAAGTAGATTTTTTAGAATTTAATGTCTTAATGTAAAGTATTTGAAAATATATTATTGTAATAAGAACAAATAAATATACATTGTTATACTAAGAAAATTATGAAAATAAATTGATATTTCATATACCTAACCCAACCCAACCCTATTATAATAATCATAAATTATCTTTTAACGGACGTCCAAACACCCACATACTTGGTAATAGTATTCGATGATCGTATATTATGATAGAATTGGTGTACACGAACCTAGGAGTGTGCAAAACCTAAATGATCTGAAATTCAAACTCGAACCGAGAATAAGATATTTATGCAAAACCCAGATACTCCTGAATCCGAAAATTCAAAAACCGACTTTTGATAGAAAATTCGGGTTCAAATAGACAACCTCCAAATCTGAAACCCAATATATATTACTCAAAAATAGGTTCTACGTCTCAAGGAGTCGAATGTACACAGATTTGTTCTCTACTCCAAAGGATGGAGCAACTTTAAGACAACGTTCTACGAATACCCTAAAGCCAAAAAAAACCCACATTACCTATTCAACTGATCTATCGACAATCATTACACACGACAAGAAACAAACTATCGAGCCGAGGGGAGTGTGATGGAGTCGTGAAACGACAAGTAAGGGTCAATGCCCGCGTCAAGCAATCCCATATTCAATGATGAATGAAAAGAACTCCGCGATATTTCATCAGAACTACCTCCATTGACACCCCTCTCTATCGAGATTGCATCTTGTATTTCCTTGATAACTTCAGACATCGAAGGTCTCATGTTCGCATGAGGCTGGACACACATCAACGCTTTCTCGGCCATCTTCCACATGGTCTGGACATCGTATTCGTCTCCTAGAGCTGGGTCAATGATCCTTTGGATGTCCCCATTCTCTATATGTAACTTTGCCTGCAACAAAACACTCGAAACTGAACATTACAAGGTAACGGGTTCAAAACACAGACATGTGTGGGGTCCTTTGGTTAAATAACCTTCTGACAGGTTTGAAATTGTTACCACTTAGCAGAAAAATGTCACTTCCTTGTACAATAATGCCTACAWACTTGTTAGAAGGTCAACTGGACTTACCCATTGAACGATGTTGCGACAATTCAAACCAAAACTTTCGTTAGAAATGGCTTCTTTACCGGAGATCARCTCAAGAAGGATGACCCCAAAACTATAGATATCGCTTTTTTCTGTCAAATGATTGGAGATATAATATCTACAAATCACAAGTCATATGAAGCATGAGAATCGACACCAATAATAGCGTTAACGGTTATTCAAGAGAAAGATACCGACTTACTCTGGATCAAGATAGCCAAGAGTGCCTCGAACTATGCTTGATACATGTGAATTCCCATCGACTGCAAGTTTCGAGAGGCCAAAATCCGAAACTTTCGCTGTCATGTTGTCATCAAGAAGAATGTTGCTTGTTTTCAGGTCTCTGTGGATAATGGAAGGGACACAACCGGTATGAAGATACTCGATCCCTAAAACGAACAAAAGTTGGGTTATATATATTGCCAACGGATCCTCTTTGATCACAAGCAATAGAAAACAAACCTTTGGCAGACTCTTCAGCAATCTGAAGGCGTTTGATCCATTTGATTCGTTGTTCCTTTGCTAAAGGTCCTAATTCGAATACAACCCTTTGTTAATATAGATCACAAGACTCTGATTGGATCAAGATCAAAACGGGAATCAGACGAATGATTAAGATCTTACCATAAAGATGTTCTTTGAGGGTTCCATTGTGCATGAATTCATAAACAAGAATATCCTTCCCTTCTTCTTGACAAAAGCCATAAAATTTCACCAAGTTTCTATGATGTATTCTTGACAGAAGAGTCACCTTCATAAAATCAAATAACTAAGTCAGACTGTAAACCGATTCCATTCACATATGAATATAAAATACTCGAGACCATGAAAAGCTTTTGCTGTTGTTGAAACGAAGAGAATTGGTTCATGAAAAGTTACCTCATTCGCGAATTCCTTCTTTCCCTGATGGGTGTTGTTACTTCCTAGAACCTTGACTGCAATTTCCTTTCCATCGTTCAATTTACCGTAGTAAACTGTTCCAAAGCCTCCTGACCCAACTTTCTTCTCGAAATTCTTTGTTGCAATTCTAAGTTGAGATAGTGTAAAGCATTGGGCACCTTCTGAAGTTGCGGTATGCATAGAAGAATCATGCATCTCGTGTTCAGGCTCTACCAAAAACCAATGAAATCAAGAAACATTAAATCATCGATTTCTTGGCATTTCATTGCAAGCTAACGATCTTTTTTGCAAAAAAGCTTTTCCCTTGGTATAAAATGGCAAAACTTCATTAACAGAAAGTACCTTGCTTGTGATCTTTCTTTCGTTGACGATGGAGCAGGCATGCGATCATGAATCCTATTAATAAAGCAGCAGCCACAACTGCTGATCCAATAATAATGTGTCTGTTGAGTCTCCCTCCACCGCTTCGTTTATGAAGATTGCTGTTTCCATTGTAGCTGATAACACCAGAAATAACAAGAACTTGAGATTGTTCACTTGAATTTGGGACGTCTCGTGAAAATTGCAACATTTCCGTATGCATAAAAAAACTTCACCGATGATATAAAATTGTAAGACTTCCCATTCTTGGAAAGTTTTAAACTTACATTTACCCATTTGGTGAAATGTATCAATATGCATCCACACTATTAACATATCTCGTCGTTATTGAAGGGTATTTTAGACAATTGAAAAATGGTTGATCACTACCCTAAAACAAAAACTTTGGCATCAAACATTACAGTTTACATGGAACATACAGAGCAACAGTTCAACTTCAAAATCGATAAATTCAACATATTTTTTGGGAAATGGAGAAATACCGACTTGAAGACTATGTTCTTTTTCAGAAGACCCGATGGCACGTATCCGGATAACAAGTTATTTTGCACATACCTGCATAGATTAGAGGTGTTATTTTGCCAAATGTTGACTCTTCCTTTTCCAAGCATGGGGGTGTAATTTTGCTATATGGAACTATCAGGAACTTACAGTTTGCTCAACTTAGGTAGGTTTGCTAAGGAAGAAGGTAGATTACCGCTCAATTGATTGTTTTCAAGATGTCTGCATAAACAAAAGTTATCACTAACGGTCTATAAGATATGATAACAAGTTGTAGTAGAATAATAAGTGAAGTGAGTAGTCTATTTTACATGATCCTTAAGTTTGGGCATCCCGTAAAATCAAGGATTGAACCGGTCAATGCATTCCCATCGAGCCACCTATTGCAAAAACAATGTAAATCAAATGTTGAAAAGCATGTACAAGAATTCAAGATCAATGGAGAGCAAAAGGGTAAAATTAGATTCCATCTGTCCCATGAAAAGTACTCCATCCATCCCAAAATAAATGTCTACAACGAAAAAGTAGCACAGTTTTAGAAATCTGTAATTATTACACTTTTTAATTAACTGAATAGTAAGTTTACCCTTAATAATAATTAAAGGTAGAATTAATAGTAGACACTTACTTTCGAAAGTGTACACTTATTTTGCGACAGAGGGAGTACAAATACAACAATTTCCATGTTGGGTTGTCCCATGGCAAACTTCCAAGTTAAAGTTACCTACTTACCCTCAGTGTTATCTTATTTTGTTATGATGGAAGGGTATTTTAGACATACGACCAATAGTCGAACGCCTTTACTAACATTTAGAATTCTGCAAAGAATCAATTGTTGCAATTCTCATGAGATGGATAAATGCATAGTGAAACTTACAACTCTTCTAAGCTGCTCAACTTGGTTAAATCTGAAGGAATGCTTCCAGTCATGTTCATATTCGACAATTTACTGCATAAAAGTTCTAAAGATTCAGGTTTGACTAACATGTTCGGGTCAAACAAATAAACAATTCGTATAATCTTGATCTCAAGTAGAAATTCACCAAAAACATCTTCATAAACATGAGTTAATGGTTTCTATTTTGAAATTTAAACTTAGATGACGATAAACTAAAACAAAAGGATGAAGGGAACAATTACACTGAGATGATCTTCGGTTGAGGGTCTGAATTACACTCCAACCAGGACCATGGAACCGGCAAGCATGGATCCCCACCTTCTTGAGCCCAAACTAGTGACTTGTAAACCGATACTAAGCTTGAAGCCACTGCCCCTGAAACATCATAATAAACCCATAATAAAAATTGGATCTTGCACCCAATCTAACGACTAGTAAACTGTTTAGTTCGGAAAATGACTTATGAAAGACTATCATACCCCATCATCATTATATCCAGAAAAAAGAGGATAGAATAGTCCATACTCACCATCAAAAGAACCATCAGTTATTTTAAGATATCTGCTGATCTCAATTGCGTTAACAAGAGGCCCTTCGGTAGAATCTGATGTTTTCCCAAATTTAAATGACAAAACAAAAGGAAATGATATGTTATAGAATCCAGGCTCATAAAGACGGTATTTTCCCTGAGCATTTTCTTGGATGTTGACAACAGATTTACTGAGGTCCGGTTGTCCTGGAATGACTAAGCGGAATTTTCGTGTTTGCTTCGGACCTAAATCTTCAATTTCTGCAAAGTAAGTGAAAGCCCAACCAAAGCCCGGAAATCCATCCAAGTTCATACGATAAGTTAAAGATCCGTTCCGGCCAACAACAGCCGTCTGCATCACTTTCTGAGGTGGTAATTCATCCTTGCCAGTCATGATCGGCAATTTGGTTGAAACTTTTTCGGTCCCAACAGCAACATCGACAAGATAATTTGCTTTCTTCACCGAATCAGATTGCCATATTCTATCAAATGGATCATCTGGATATCTGAGATGAAAATGGAACAACTTCTATAAGCATCTATAATAAAGTTCGTGGGGACGGTTTAAATGAGAAACATAAATATCTTGAGAACTTGGGAACCTACTATTCGTATTGTATTCATGATAAATGTCCTAATAAATATTCATGATGAAAATACATGATATTTATGATGAAAATGCATGATACTCGTGATAAATAATATTCATGATTATTTAGGGTTATTCATCGTGAATAATACATGAAATAATTGGTTCCCAAGTTGTATCGATGGTTCTCCTTTGAAATTTCCCCTATAGAGTTTTTTTTTTCTTTCCAAATTTCAAACAGACTAGGTCCATATCACTTTTAAAACCAAAAAAGTACTCAATTTGACACTCAAAATCAACCGGCAGTGCATATAACATGTAACATACCTGACCGGATCTTCATTTTCAGCCCCAAAATTGATTCTAGCTGAAACACTTAAAAAGAATTGGTCCTCAAATGGTGTAAGATAGATTGAACCATTGAATTGTCGAAGCTCAAGTGTGGAAATGAAGGGCAGCCCAGTTGTGGAATTCGATAAACACACTGTGACCAAAGGATCAGAAGCCAAAAAGATGAGTTCTTGAGACTCTATGGTATTAGCATCTGAAATGACAATAGTTGCCCAATGAGTAGGCCCCAGGGAGATGTCAAACTTCGGGTACACGTTGTTGCTATCAAAATTACCGTACAAGAATGTCGCTCTTATGAGGTATCTAGTCCTAGTTTTCACGTTTAGCGAATAACAATACTTGTGATTATCTGCAGGGAAATATCGGAGTGTTTGATATTGCCGTCTAGTCTCATTTGCGATGGAGATGTTGGTTGTTGTTCCATATACAACTTGATCATCAGGAGTCCACTCGAGCCCGAGCTCGTCTGTGTGATTCTTTTGGCCACCACAATCTAGACTTATAAAACCTGCTACAAATGATCAAATTTGTGAGTACTAGCATTTGCACAAAATGAAAATGTGAATTGTGGATCCTATCTTTATTTCTCTTCATTGTCTAATTTGTGGGTCCCATCTTCGGTTCTCCTAAATGGGACCCAAAATCATATTATCATTCTTCAGACACCATATAAACAGGATTACAGAGTGAATACGCTAAATGGCTTAAACAAATTGGCTTAAGCTTTCCAAAGATCAGCTATATGTGTCATTTTCTAAAGACGGTTAAGTCCACAAAATGATAATGTAAATCGACTCGAACGAACTTGACCTACAAAAGTTACTTTGAATGCTCAAACTTGACATTTCTAATCCCTCATTCCCATGAAGATTGCATCAATTGATTCTACACACATTTTAATGATCATTTTAACCATCAGTTAAAATGTCTATAATACTCTTCTACTACGATGAAATCGGCATATCAAGATCCAATCATATGATCATCAATGGAGCACTCGGCACTAGAAAAATAACAACTAATTTCCCCCAGAGAATACAAACCTATGGCAGCTAAATAACAATCAAGAATCAAAGCTGGGAGCACAAAACTTAGTTCATCTGATATCTACGCAGAAACCTTAACAATTTGCCACAGATGCTGAATATTCATATTCCTCAAGCAGATTTCTGCACTTCTTCATTCAATATTAACAAATAAATCACCCAAAAGAGGTTCTGAAAAGTGTTCGTCCAAAAAGGAGAACAACCAACCAACAGAATAAACTTTAAAACCCTAAAAAGCATGCGAATCTAAAATAAAGAATTGACAAATCAAGAAACCCATGTCTATATATATATATATATATATATATATATACATATACAGAGAGAGAGAGAGAGAGAGAGAGAGAGAGAAGATGAACCTGGCATCTGGGCTTTGGCGAACTCCATGAAATTGAGAAAAACAGAGAAGAACAAGATTGAGAACAATAAATTATCAGACCCCATTTTCTTTCTATTCTATCACTGCTTCAAATGTGAAAAAGAAAAGGGTTTAGCAGAAGATCATATCATTTAAGAAATGAGTGCATTGAGAAGCAAGCAAATACAAGAAAAGATTGAATCTTTTAAACCCTAACAATCAAAGAGAACTTCTTCCCCTCTCGCTAACTAAAACAACTTTCGATTTAGAGGGATAAACAAAAAGAAAGAATGATTATGAAGGAAATAAAGTGGAGTAAAAAATGAGTATAAACAAGGAGAATGATTCTATTCTATGATGAAGGGTGGGTTTCATGCTCTAGAAAAAGGCAAAGGAAGGAGGGCGGAGGGCCCACTAACGAGAAACATGCGGGGCCTACTGCAATTTGCAGCTGAGTTGGAGTTTGGACTGACTTCTCTTTAAATAATCCATTTCTGAAAAATTAACCCTTTCCTTTAGATATTTAATAAACTACACGACAAAAAAAATTCCTATGATTTGCCAAAATCACAATTTTTATTCTTTCTAATTTTAAAATTATAAGATGGATATTATGATTTATAAAAATGTTTGAATTTTATTTTTTTTATTTAATAACCGTTAAATGATAGACATTTTATTTTTTTTACCCAATTAAAATCATAAATATATATATATATATAGTATTAAAAATATCATAAATAAAGAAAAAGTAAAAAGAGTTGACTAAAATTTTGGTTCCTATCATTTTTTATTAATTAAAAGATAAAAAATAATTAAAAGGACAAAAATCCCCCAATCTAGTGAATTTTTTTTTAACTATCATCAAGAAAAAGAGTGACCCGATTTGGACGTTTATGTAAATCAATACGATCATATTGTGATTTTAAAATTGTAAGAATAAAATATGTTACTTTTGATAAACCATAGAGGCTAAACCTATAATACAAAAAGAAAAAAGAAATTGATAGATTCGATTATGAATTAAACTCTTTTAAAGATAAAATACCGTAAAAAATAAAAAACTAATCCAACTTAATAAAAAAAAAACGAAGAAAGTTGAGGTGAAGGACTATTTTCATAATAAAATGAAAACCATAATAACTAAAAATGTAATTTAATGGAGTTTGTACATAGGCCAAAATTGTAGTTTAATAAGCATCCTTTAATAAAGTGTCCATTTATTTTATTATTTTAACTTTTAATAGACACATTTTTATTTAGATTCTATGATTAATAATATATTATATCTTTTAAATATTATAAATAAGCTTTCCTGTTTTCCAGTTTTATTTTAAGCTTGTTTTTAGAAAAGTAGTTTTATAACTAAAAGGCATTAACTACTTTCAAGAAATAATTTTATTAGTTATATATACTATATTATAAAATATTTGATTAAAACTCTTAAAAACAATTTTTTATGCATAAAGTACTGTTTATTGATGCATATTACATAAAATTCAAGATTACAAGTAGGATATGCATGAGTACATCTTACTAAAGTTTTATGTTTGAATTCGTGTAATTAACTGCGGATAAACATAATCAAATATATGATAAACATCATTTTAAATATACAAAATCAAAAATATAATTAAGATAATCATTGAGTTCAAACATGTTAATTATTATCTTAAAAAAATTATTTTATTAAACCAAAAATAAATTAGTTCGTTTTTTAATTTCAATTAAATTATATAAAAAAATTGAATTAAAAAAATTATACAAAAACGAGAACTTTTAAATAGTTAATTTGATACTACTATTGCTTATTTTTTTCAAAATTTTATAATATCTTCAAATTTATATTTCATTCAAAAACAAAAACATTTTCGTTTTCTCAAAACCACATAAAATCGCATTATAACATCAATAGAACCAAAATATAATCGAAACATTAAGAACAAGATGTATCTCGTTGCATTGCACGAGTACCCTTCTAGTTCAATACTAAAAGGGTACTTACACAATTTAGCGAGATAAATATTCATTTCAATGTTTCATTTTATTTTTGTGGTCTATGTCGATGTTATAATTTGAATTTATTTGGTTTTGAGCAAGCAATAATGTTTTTTCTTAAATATAAATTTGAAGATATCGTAGAAATTAAAAAATATATATAAAGGTACTCATATTTTTGTGTAATTTTTTTAATTTAGTTTTTTTATTATAATTTAATTTATGTTTAATGATGAAGTAATTTAATTTTGGTTTAATAATATAATTTTTATGAAGATAATAACTAAGTATTCTGTTAGAACTCAATAATTATTCTAATTATATTTTAGATTTTATATTTAAAATAAGAATCTTATCTTGTATTTGATTATATTTATCTACAGTTAGTTACAAGAATTCAAACATTAAGCTTAATAAGTTGTACTTACAAACAATTTACTTGTAATCTTGATTTTTAAGTAATATGCATCAATAAACAATACTTCATGTATAAAAAATGGGTTTTAAAAGTTTTTATCAAATGTTTTATAATATAGTATAAATATTTATAATAAAATCGACTACTTTATTATTTAAAAAAATTAAAAGGGTTTTAGTGGATTATCCCACTAAAAAGCGCAACTTTATTTTATCTTTAACCCACAATTACCTTTTATTTAATTTTTATTTATGAGTAAACGACACATTTGGTCCTTGCAATTTTCCAAAAGTAACACTTTTCATTCTCTATAATTATGAAATTACAAGATGTCCATCGTGGTTTGCAAAAAAACATTCAGATTTTGCCTCTCTTTAACGGCTGTTAAATGAGGAACCATTTTCATTCTTTTACCGATTTTTTTTGTTTTTTACCCAATAAAAATCATAGTACCAAAATCATAAAATCGATTTTGATTAGGTAAAAAATAAAAAAGAATCGATAAAATGATGAAAATAACCCATCTTTGACGAAATTTTTTAACAACCATTAGAAGGTATGATCAATTCTAAACATTTTTACAAAAGGCAATAGAGTTAATGTAACTTCAAAATTGTAAGAATGAAAAGTGTTATTTTCAACAAGTCATGGGGACCAAATTTGTAATTTATTCTTCATTAAAAGTAAATTACATTTTTCGTCCTTGTGGTTTTGTTACAAATTTTGGATTTCGTCCTTTTGGTTTTGAAATTGCAGTTTTAGTCCATATGGTCTTCAATTCATTTCTATTTTCATCTCAAAGGTTAAAATTACTTTTAACAATCATGACTAAAATAAAAATGAATTATAAACCACAAGGATAAAAAAAAAGCAATGAGGTTTTAATCATGAGGACAAATACAACATTAAATTATAAGCTGTAAGGATGAAAATAGAATTTTTCACAGGGACTAAACTCCTTTATTCTTTTTGTAAGTAAATATTAAATTAAATGGGAAATCCATATATCCAAAGTAATGTTGTGCCAATTTTTTTGGAGGCACATGTCATATTTGTATTTACCCTGTAAATTGACTGAACAATTAATAATAAATCAAATTAATAAACCGATACCATATATTATGTTAAGAAATAACTCGTTTTGATGAGTAGACAAAGACTAGATCGTGGACGTTAACAAAATAGAACTTGCAAATGAATAGGTGATTGATTGCACACTTGCAGATGGTTTTGATATTTGATTTTGGTAGATGTTGATTTGAAGTCGAACCAGAAATTAATCATGGTCGCAAGAACCATTGTTTGATAAAAGAATCAGAAGAAATCTCATCGAGGATTTGTAGAGTCATGATTGATTATGTTGTCATCTGAAAAAAATGCAAAATCATAAAATTGATTTTAATTAGGTAGAAGACAAAAAAAATCAATAAAATAACATAAAATACATCTCATGTAACGAAGTTTCTTAATGACTGTTAGAGGGAGGGAACAAATCCTGACATTTTTACAAACAACGATGAACATTGTGTAATTTTGAAATTGCAAGAACAAAAAGTGTTATTTCTAGAAGAACCTCAAGGACCAAATTCATAGTTTAGTCTATTTAAAATATGTTATATCATTAAAAAAGAGTACCATTAAGGGGGTGTTTGATATTGATTATAAAAATAACTTATTGACTTATTCCGTGTGATACCGGTAATAAGCACTTTTGAGTGTTTGAATAAACAACTTATACCGGTGTTAAACCGATAATAAAAAGTTTTTTGAAAAAATTAAACTCCTTTAACTTATAATAAATTAATAAGTGTTTTTATACAAAAACAAAAGTTGTTTATAAAAAATCCCAATTCCCAAACACCCCCTTTGCAAGTTACAAGTACACTTGCATGTAAGTGGTGGTTAAAGATGAATGGAAAATTCTGTTTTATTAATGAATTTTTTGACCAATTAAAATATTATTTTATGTTAGGTATGGGTGTTTTTGTCCATTCCACCATTTTCCACTTTAAAGTATGTTTTTAGCTAAAGAATTAAATATATACCATTTCAAAATATAACTTTTAATCCAAAAAAAAAATACATGAATTGAAACCAGATGTATTAATATAACATAAAAATTATCGATGAATAAATAGATAATTTTGTATCCGTAATTTTTTTAACAAAATTGAGCTTAAAACGATGATAATTGATAGTCCATCAACCGTTGACTAATGTATAATCAACAAACCGTTTATATATTTTGGTGCTTTTTTCATCTTAGAAAAATATAAAAAGTTCATGAAAGATGATGTTTGACAAAACAATTACTTTTTCAAAATCTTAAAACTAGTTTATGAAGTTTCGTAAATATTAGTTATCATTTATAAACTTGATTTCGATCACTGATAATAAAAGATGTATGAAACTGATCAAAAAGATGTTTGTATAGTCATTAATGAGAGCTTTCTTTGATATATCACTTGTCCAAAATAGAGCTTATGTGAATAAGAACATGATCATCAAAGTGTTTCTTGTAGAATGAATGTTGTGCACTCGAGCTTTGATTTAATTTGTTTCTAGTTTGATGAAACGTGAATAATCTGTGAAATCTGTCATTTACATATGTGAAACATTTACGTTTCCACCAAGAATTAAGAATGAAACGTGAATAATCTGTGAAATCTGTCATTTACATCCCACTATTCTGACCCAAGACTTCTTGGCAGACAAAGGAGGATTAGGGTGGTGAATAATTGAATATAAGGACTTGTCTTGACAGACAAATATTTATAACATATTTTAAAACATAATTACAAGCAAATCCCATAAAATCCCGAGAAATACCAACTTTCAAATACAGGAAATCCTTCTAAGCAGACAAATGATTGAAATCAAATTCAACCCAATCACACAAAACCAAACGAGACCTTAGTGTTTTGCAGAAGATGAAGAAGTGTCGTGAAAGAACCCGAAGACACAAAACTAGTCAAGGTTCAAATACATCCATACACAAAGAAACATAAAAAAAAATGATATTCTTATATCAACTAGACTTGAACGATTTTTTACTATATGTTAGATTCTTCATTTTCTCCTTAACGACTCTTTTAAATAAAATTTCACATATTCTCACAAAACACCAGATTTGAGGCTTTAAAAAGGGAATGAAACTAATACTTGTGTTGGAAAGACCAAGTTCACATTCTTCCCATTTTTAGGAAATAAACAAATTGTTTGGTTTTGCTAGGAATCCAAAGTATTGATAACATGATACACTGGAAAATAATCAAGTGGTATTTAACATCCAAAAAACTGTCGTTTGTTATAATTTTAGACAACTTGTTACTCATATTACCTAGTGTATAAATACCCGTACAAACTTTAAAGCCATTTGTTGCAACAATTATATTATTAATTAAACCTTTCTTGTATCTTACTTCACCTCAGAATAAATGTGAACAATGAAAGTCAATAGTTCTAGTAATTTATAATTACTGCGCTTTTTAATTAACGATGAAAAAGGACAATTTTACCTTCAATTAGAGAATTAGAAATATTCTCCATCTCATAACTAATAGTATAATGAGAAAACAAATATTTACTTTTGAATATTGACACTTAGGTGTCGTTTACCAAACGCTTACCCGGGTAAGCGCTCACCAAGTCACTTTACTTTACCGGATGAATATGACAAGGACTAAAAATCTTATCCGGTAAGATTGAAAACAATAATCGAGAGTCTTACCCGGTAAGTGAGGACGGAAACTCTTGCCATAGTTAGCGCTTACCGGGATAAATTGTTGCATACGATGCGTTTTAGTGAATAAAATCTTACCTCGTAAGTAAGCGATAGTGTTGAACTCTATCGGTAAGTGTTTACCATGTAAGTGTTTAGGTAAACGGCCCCTTAGTAACCATTTACCTAAACACTTATCTAGCAAGTGCTTACTGTTAAGATTCAACCCTATTATATATCTTACCGAGTAAGATGTTAGACCATTAAAACGTCATCATATCCAGCAATTTACCCAGTAACGCTAACCAGGTAAGAATCTTAGTCCTTACAATGTTCATCCAATTAGGTAATGTGACTTGATAAGTGTTTATCGGGTATGAATTTGGTAAACAACCTCTTATTTTAGGACAAACTAAAATAATGATAATCCTAAGCCTTTTTCATAAAGGTCAAAAGAGACGCATGATATTTCAGTCCTCACAGCAGCAACCTCGTCCAATATTACTTGAACCAATTACTTCAACAAAGAGCCCAACAAATAACATTAAAGAGCTTACAAGTTTGGAGCCTAAACAGAGGAAGTACGGAGGAGAAAAGTTGTAAAACATAGCTACTCAGATGCAGTCAATTATCTTCTACAGCACCACAATTGTGTTGTTTTAAAGGTGTATTCTATAGAGGGTATCCCCATGTGTGTGTATATATATATATGTGTGTGTGAGAATCGTGTGAGAAGTGAAGTTATGGTGCGAAATGTTAGAAGAGATTCGAACCCTTGATCACTTTTAATCTCATGTCCACCTATAAATTATGCTTTAGAAAAGAATTGATCTGGTGCATCCCAGTACATCTCATTAGTGTTAACATTCAATTATGATTGATCCAATGATGAAGATATCTTCTTACACTTCTCACCATAACTTGACTTTCTCACCGGAATCCAACCACATATATGTATATATACTTGGGATAACGTGAGACCAATCTATACTCGTGACATGAGACCCGTGAGACTATTTTTTTACACTTGAAACTTCACAGCAAAATGAAGGTAACCTTCACAGTGTTTTTGCTGTGAAGGTTCAGATTTTTTTTTTACCTTCACAGTGTTTTGCAATGAAGTTTCAAGTGTAAAAAAGTGGTCTCACGAAAACAGTCTGGTCTCACATGAACCCAACCTTGTGTGTGTGTATGAGGAGGGGATATGAATAGCAACACCGTAATAAATAAACAACCGAAAATGCCTTTAAACCAAACAGAGTGGTCAAATGTATTATTTCATGAGTTGATAGCATTTATTGATCTCACACCTGAAACACTAAAAATTTCAAAAACTTGTACGTGCACCCATTCATAAGTTAAAGCTTGAAATGTTACTTGTTTGACCCAACAGGTCCACAAGGCCACCAGTACGTGTGAAATACAAGGTACAATGAAAACAGCTTTTTCATGTTAGAAATAAGCTGATCATGTGTTTTCATGTTGTAAATTGTACATTAAAGAAAAAAAAGCCTAGGATTGGGGGAAAAGGAAAATGTAGTTTCCAAAGCCAGGACAAACAGTAGTTATCTAATTGTACCATCCTAACCCCACTTGCACTATTCCTCTCTAACCAAAAACCTTGTATTCATCAAGCAACAAGGACACTTTTGACTTTTCACCACCTGAGTTAACTTACATGTACTTTATCGATACCTTAAATCTTCTGGATGGAAAATTTATCGAGCCCTGGCCAAATTCTTCAATGGAATATTTTGTTCTTAACAAAACCAAGTACCTGATCAGAGGTTATTGAAAACTACCTAATCGATGTGCTACGATTATAGAGAGGTGGCACTCGTTTTCATTTCAATCATCTGATGAGACTATAAAGCCATCTTAGAGAGTTGTATACAAGAATATGTCAATCTAATGCCTACAACTTGTAATAAAATGAATGATGGATCACCTTGCATTGATTACTCCTAGAAATGTTTGTATGCTCTATCTGCTTGGCGTACCTTCAGCTCCTAAAGAAATATGGGGGTACGTCACTGGTACTTTTAATGGATGGATGGTGAGGGATGGCTGAAGCTAGAAATGGTGGTTGATGATGAGCAGCAGCTAATGATGAAACAGCGTTTGTTGAATTACGGAATCCTGATGATGCTGCAGCAGCAGAGAAGAGGGAAGCTGGTCTAACTCCAGCATATGGACCTTGAATCTGCCATGCCCAATTTGGAGACTTCGTATTCTTCTCTATTGCTGTTCCCTGATCATGGAGAGGGGATTGATTTCTTAGCAACTCGGTACATATGATTTGTTTGAACAACATTTCTAACAATTGTATTTAGTCCAGAAGTTTTTTAACAAACCATTGAACTTTCATAAATGCAAAAGAAAAAACACGTTAGTTGGCAAAGAATGTATGAAATGGGACAAAAGTTAATAAGTACAGGCATTATGCCAACTACAATGGTTATTTCTGCACATTGTTGTCAATTACAATGTTCTTTTCATAATTTTAGGTGTATAGTGATCGGTTAACATGTTTAGACATATGATATTATACTCACCAGAACAATGGGCTTTTTGTTAATAATTGGCAGTCACCAGCAAAAGGAAATGTTAATAAAGATTTACCCTCAAACAGAAAGGTACCTGGTAAACAGGGAAAAACCCAGAAGTCACAACACCACTCTGGTAAGGAGGGTGGGCATGAAGCATTTGAGTTCCCAATGTGACAGGTGTAGAGTGTTCAATCTGCAATGGGACAAAAAAGATGGCTTAAACACAACATTTCACATATGTTAAACGGATAACACATTGGGCAAGAATCGTTTAATTTACCCTTTTTCTTCCATCCTCAGACGTATCAGCTAAGAGAGGATTGACTTGGTGCAAGCTCCCAAAGGTGTCATTTGCCTTATTACCTCCTGATAAAGAGGGGGGAGCAATACCAAGATTCAAATCCATGGATTGGTTGTAGGCTGTAATAAATGATACTAATCACGGTGAATACGAAAAAATATATGAAATGCAATAAAAAAATTCAGTAGACGATTGCATAAAAGGGTTAGTTAGCACCTCTGTTGTCAGCCTCGGGACTTGGCTCCCCCTCATACGAGCTGGGTTCAAAGTTGGTGACAGCTTCTCTTCCATTGCATTTTATAGCAGCCTTGTCATAAGCCCTAATTAATTGAGAACAATGACATGGTAGTATAAAAGAAAGGATCCAATGAAGATTGAAAGAAAGATGAGAGTGAATGGAGCCAGGCTTGGGTGCTAACCTTGCCGCTTCAATTTCAGTGTCAAACAATCCAAGGTAGATGTACCTGTGGGAAAACAAAGTATGCAACAAATGATAACAAGCTACCACCACCACTTTAATCATAATGAAACCTAACATATTGAATTAATACAAATTCCTTCATACTTCTTGCATCCAAAAGTTGGGGTCCGTTAAAAAATTGTCCCAAAAAAGAGTCTCATGTATAAGGAATCAAAGTCTCCCCGCAACTAAATATATGCATCCTTTGAAATTTTAAAAAGTGGACCTTATTCAGAACATAACAAAACTTTGGTTTAGTTCTTAAAATTCTCACTTTTTCCCGAGAAATTGCCCCATTCGAGCTTCCCATCGACCACATTTGTGCAGGGTAACTCCTCTGTATTTCGAGCTTCCTCTAGAAAACCCAGTGCTCTGACGGCGAAGATTATGCACAAACTCTTCCTTTGTCAAGTCCTTTATCTGCATAAGGCACGTAAAATGAATAACATGTGCTACTCATAAGTCTATCTTGCATCAACAGTTGTAATTGTCTGAAGCATATTTCAAAACTCCAGCCAAACCTGTTTGAGGTCTTCCTCATAATCACTTATGTTGAAATTAATATCAGCATCAAGTCCCCGAAACTTAATTGCAGCCCGATCGTATGCCCTGTAATAAAAAGATCAAGTTCATATGGCTTGACATAGTAAAGTAAGGTCAAATAAGAAAAAACAAAAAAGATGTGGTTGCCTTGCAGCAGCATGTGCAGTGTCAAATCCACCTATAAAATCAAGCACAGACAAATCAAACAAAAACAAACAGGTCAGCTAATTGGCCAAAGAACAGAATCAGACTCAAGTTGAATTAACAAAACCTAGAGAATCCAATGCAATTCGGTATCCATAATTGCTTACCCAGATAAACTTGCTTCCCACAGTCCCTGCAGAAATAGCAGGAAGGAAAAAATCAAACCTAACTTGACATTAAAATTCCCAAAGTTTTGTCCGTATTTCAATAGGAAAATAGAAATCCGATAGCATATTACTCAATTGCATGATCAAAAATTCAAATCATTTATGCTTGATTTAATTATCTAGACATCAAATTGTTACAATAATTAAGTAACAACATCGGTTTCTCAACAAATTTCATTAATAAATCGTTAATGAATCGGGATTTTCCCTGGGGCAGTTAGCATCCATGTCATATTTGTAATAATCAACTAACCATATATGCGATTCCCATCTTCCAGTTCTCCGGTAAAAAGTAACACCGCGATACTGAGAACTCCGAGGCCTAGGTCCTCTTCTACTCTTCCTCACCTGCTGTCTGTGCTGCTGATGTTGCTGCTGCCTTAACATGAATTCTCTTTCGTCCATCGCACTGTTACCACGAACATCCAACCCCTGATGCTGCCTCAAGCCGCTGTCTCCATCAATCTCAGGGAAGAGCTGCTTCGTCTCCACAATCCCTGACCTAAAATCCTGATCACCTTCTCGGTTACTCGGTTTCAGTATATCGAAGTTATAAGCGAGATCCGAACAAGAGTATGAGTGCTCCTCGTCGCCAGCGTTACTCGATATCTCCACATTGACGACGGAAGAATTCGAGGTCCCGCCGGAGTATTCCAATTGACCGCCGCTTCCGCATACCTCTAAAAACTGCTTATGGCCGTCGTCCTCCATATATTTCGACGTCAAATCGCTCTGATCAACACTCAGATTAAGGTCCAGCATCACTTCAGTTCTCCTCAAAATTCAGCTTCAGTTTAACTTTCAAACCTGCATATTTTATAAATTTATAAATAGAACTCCGATCAATCAGATTATAATAAACATAGAAACAAATACTGTGACTAGGTATAATCTATGTACATATATCGTCAGGAACAGCGAGCAGATTTTTTTATAGATTGGGAATAAAAGAGAGTTCAGACAATACTTAACCAGATGAAGAGAAGGAATACAGGCAGTCGGCGACGGAATCAAGGCCGGCGATTGTCTGCTTCCATTTTTAGAGAGAGAAAAAACTTTTTCCCAGAGAGAGAAGGTGTATAACTGCTGTGTGCTGATACTCATAGGGAAGGAAACAGCAACAAAAGAGAAATAGACCCATGAAGACCAGTGTGAGAGGATGGGACGTGTGAAAGAAGCAGACAAGTTAGCGGTGGCGCGTAGATTCTACGATTGCAGGAATGCACAGGGGTAATTCGGTAAAACTAGAATGATTACAAAATTAAGATGGCAAATTACGGCTTTGATCCCTGTGGTATGTGGATTTTTATAGAATTGACACCTATATTTCATTTATTACGAGATGACCTGATGGTATACATATTCTATGTAATTTGGTCCCTAAACCGAACGAACATCCACAGTGTCCGTTAAATTTGAGGGAAACTTGTCAATATGTTTTTCTTTATCTTAACATTTTTTAATTTGCTTAAAAGATCATTTTTTGATTAAAAGCCTTTTCCCCGATGTCTATCCTCACATCTTTTTTCATCTTCATCTTATTCTTTTTTAACAAAAAAGCATAAATGTAAACCGACAAATCCTAATATGTAAATCAACACATTTAAAAAAAAAAAAACACATACACACACACAATGACTTTGATGGAACCAAATCATGGAAGCCTTGTATCAAATCCAAATCTTGGAGGTAAATCAATGTTCTCCGAATCGTATATTTGAAATGAAGTTGAATTGTTGACACAAATGAGTCCCTTCACCGTCACCGACCTTCTCCAGTAAACCCCTCATCTTCAACTCCGATGAAACCCTTTCCCCTCCCACTCACTGCTTCAATGAAAACTTCCTCAATAGAAAAATTAGAAGTTAGAAAAACTCACGACACAAGCTTAAAAAGTTGAAAAAATCAGTATCCATAATCTTAAGTGGGAATCGTAAGACATGATAGTGGTAGTGTAAGGGGTCGTTTACCATACACTTATCCGGTAAGCACTTTACTGTAAAATTCAACACTATTATTTACTTACGAGGTAAGACTTTTAGTCAACAAAAACGGCTTTCTATGCAACAATATAGCCGGTAAAAGAAGAGCTAACCGTGGTAAGAGTCATTGTCCTTACTTACCGAGTAAGACTCTTGGTCTTTGTCTCGCTCTTACTGGGGAAAATTATTGGTCATTGTCATATTCATCCAGTAAGGTAAACTTAGAAATCGCTTACCCGAGTAAACATTTGGTAAACAGCCCATAAGTTTTTTATTTGGGTTAGTTTTATTTTTTATTTTGCTTCGGTTAACATCTTTTAACTAAGGTTCAATTGTTAGGGTCTAATTGTTATCTTTCTTTGATAAAGGTTATTCTTGATAGAGAGGATGAACGTGTTCAAACAAATAAAAAAAGGAAGAATTAAGCAAAAAGTCATAAAAAACCTTGAGTTTAACGGACTTGGTGGATGACGTTAAGAAAAAGGACCAAATCTAATATAAAAATATACAAACCTTGAAGTTTTTTACATAATAAATAAATTTTACGGACCAATTTTATAAAAAAAAACCCCCACCCAGAAACCAAATTCATAATTTACTCAAAAATAAAATAAAATTACACAAATAGATATCTAAACTAAAAACTACTAAAAGAACAGTGGCGGATCCAGAATTTTGGTCTAGTGGGGGCACCTTTAAGGTAGCTTAAACGCCCACAAAGTCGTCCGATGTGTTTTTAGCCTTATTCCACCATTCCAAGAGATTTTTGAAGTTTTTTGGATTATTTCGAGGGATTTTTTAAGGGTTTTTTTT